GATGTAGTGGGTCCAGTTCCCAGCAGTCAATCCGGAATGAGATACGTCTTGGTTATTCAAGATCGCCTCTCCAGATGGATTGTATTCTCTCCTATGAGAGATGCCTCTGCTCAGACTACCGCCCGCTTATTCATAAGCGACTGGGTTTGTCTATTCGGAGCACCAAAGAGGATCCTAACTGACAGGGGGACAAACTTCATCAGCGAAGTTTTTAGGGATATGGCAAGGTTTTTGGGGTCCAGAGCTCATACTACAACTGCTTATAGACCCCAAGGAAACGGTCAAAATGAAAGGGCCCACAGAGAATTACATGAATATTTGGCCCTGTATCTTGATCCGGAAAACAGACAAACTTGGGATGAGCTGCTAAAATTCGCAGCATGGGTTCATAACTCATCAAAGCATGAGGCTCTCCAAGCCTCTCCTTTTGAAATAGTTACAGGGGTAAAACCAAGGACAAACTGGATACCAACATCATGGAATCGAAAAGATCTTTCCAATGTCCAGGAATATTACAAAGACAAACAAAATCATTTGTCTGAGGTTAGGAAGAAAGCTATAGAAGCCATAAGAAAAGGCCAGGCTTCTTATCTAGAAAGGCTCAATTTGCATCGAAAAGGAAAAGAATATCAGGTGGGTGACAAGGTTTGGATTAGAATACATCAACAAGCTACATATGTAGGTCGGAAATGGAGCCCAAAATATAAGGGTCCATATACAGTTATCGACGTCGTCAATCCCGTCGTCATCAGAGTTCGCGACGACCAAAATCCAACTTGGACTGACGTAATTCACGTCAGCTACGTCCGACCATACGTGTCACGAACGCCACCGCCTGAAAAGCATCCTGTTGATGACATCACCGACGATGAGTATGTTCCTACGTCATCTACCTCTAATACACCGCCCAAAAGTACTGCAGCTGAGGTTGGTAGTAACAAAGGTAATGACGATCTCTCTAGAAACACCCGAGATCCTTCCACGGAACCATTCGATTTCTCTCCTTCTCCGTCACCAAAACCAAAACAGAAAGAGGACTTTCACTCTTCTTTTGAGGGGGGTGGTTCTCCCCAGTCCTCTAAAAATTCCGAAATTTTTCGAACTTTTTCTCCTTCTACTCCAACTAAACCAATGGCCAATGCAACCCCATTCTCGAGCTCTGAGGACATCTTTGTCTCAGCTGACAACTCTATGCATGAAGAGGAACAAGAAGTTGATGACACTCTTCCTGCCCAGCAAACTGTCATAGAGCAACCTTCTTTCTTACAATCTCTTTCCCAAGGAGTTAAAAACCTGACAAACGAATTTGGAAAATTCCTAAATCCAGATGTTCCTTCTACAAATCCTAACGCATCAGCAGAGACTCTTCCTTCTCTCTCTGAATCCATTTACGAACATCATACTCCTCCTGGAGCAGTCAGTACTCCTAACACCTCAAAGGATAGGACAGAATTCCCGTTCAGCTCAAAACAATCAGCAGAAAGAAGATCCTTAAAGAAAAGAAAATCTCAATCTGAGATACCAGAAGAAGAGGATCTAGAAAATCCTGCTGAGCCAGAACAATCAAGGGAAAACAGATCTCAAACCCATTCTCATCGAGATCAACGTCCTACTTTGCAGGAAAGAACACCTGAAGGCGCGAGACAAAGATCCAGATCGCCACCTAGAACAGGTCATTCTGCTGCTGGACCATCAGCAAAGAAAAAATCGAAGTCGAGAGCGCTGCAGGGTTTAACACCCAGCTCTATACTTGCTGCCAGAACTCGACAACAAAGTCAGCAACAACGAACCACTCCAAAATCATCTCCTGTGAGTGGAAGAACTAGAAGCAGACAACACTAACCCAGTAGTGAGAACAACCCGCCAGATTAATTTCTGAGCCCTTGTTTTCAAACCCCCACTATTGGAAGAAAGCCTAGTGTTTCCCAAATTTTACAAAGATCCCTAAGAAAATCATGTGGAAAGTACTGGTAATTTTCTCTATCCTTCACATCTCCTCTGGAATTGAAATCCAAGAGATTGAAGAGAAAGAAAAGGGAATGATTTCAAACAGTCAAAGATTTGACAAAGTTTCCCCACTCAGAACTTTCCCTGCAAATGTTGGGATCACTCTGGAGGACATGTTTTCTATCTGTACCCCAATCAATTTTTGGACAATAGAAACATCTATAGATATTGGAAAAATCCATACCTTGATGAACAATTTGAATGTAAAAATTCTAACAGTCATCAAGAACAGGCTAAAAACAAATTCCAGTTCTCCTACAACTATTAAATTAGCATACAATCTTTTGCAAGACAAAGCAAGTCAATTGACTGAAGAATTAATTAAAAAGATTTGACAAAGTTTCCCCACTCAGAACTTTCCCTGCAAATGTTGGGATCACTCTGGAGGACATGTTTTCTATTTGTACCCCAATCATTTTTTGGGCAATAGAAACTTCTATAGATATTGGAAAAATTCATACCTTGATGAACAACCTGAATGTAAAAATTCTAACAGTCATCAAGGACAGGCTGAAAACAAATTCTAGTTCTCCTACAACTATCAAATTAGCATACAATCTTTTACAAGACAAAGCAAGTCAATTGACTGAAGAATTAATTAATCTCAGAATCAGAGCAAAAGAAACCTCCAAACCATTTCCTCCAGAATCCTCCTATCTAAGTCTGCTACCCATAATGAGAAGAAGAAAGAATGAAATAGATGAAATTCAGGTCCAAGAGAAAAGAGCAACAATTTCTCCACCTGCTCATTACAGGCCAAACAGCAACATATATGAAGTGGCAACTCAATTGGGAAACCAAATAAATTCCACCTTGCCAAATGATGCTGCTTCCTGGTTATATTTAACCAGTCTTGGAAATGAACTAGCCCATTTCACCAGGCTCTTAATTTCCTTGATGGCTGACATGGACAGAATTCATCAATTTCAATATCCAATTACCCTCTTGACAAACTCTGAGGTTAAGACCCAATTGGAACAAATTATCAGGATTGAAAATAATCCTCCAACTACAGTTCTGACCCTTCAAGACTTGTTTGCCTTAATCAGGTCAAACCCTTTGACCATTGGTCACTTTGACCCCTGCGCTCAAGATCTTCAGGCAGTCAACACTTCATGTTTTTACAGGATCACAACTGTAGTACCAATTATCAGGTCCATTGACAAATATGAGCTCTTTAAAATTCATGCTTTGTCTATTGCTGAAGATACTTATATGGGAGCTCCTAAATGGAAACAAGCCTTTTTGAGGCACTCATATCTTTTATCTCAAGGCTCCAAACTTTATGGCTTAAATTCTCTTGATTTACCTATGTGCTTAAATCAATTGGGACAAGCTGATTGTAGGATCTGTAGATTTAACAGACCTCCTTCTCAAGAATTAGATCCCTGTGTGTCATCAATTCAAAACGGGGAAAATGAATCTACAATTAAGGTCAAGTGTCCTTTAAAACAAATTAGCACTCCTAGCAACACTGTTGTGCAGCTGGATAGGGATGAATTTGCGTTTGTGGATAATGACAAGGGAAGGATCACTCAGTATTGTTCTGGTTCCAAAAATTCTAGCATATCTGCATCTGAAAATTCTTATGAACTACCTTATTCTGGAATTCTTCAATTTAAACCTAATTGTCGCTATACAGTTGTGAATGGTCCTTTTACTGATGTGTTAATTCTTATGAATTACCTTACTCTGGAATTCTTCAATTTAAGCCTAATTGTCGCTATACAGTTGTGAATGGTCCTTTTACTGATGTGTTGCCTAAACTTGAGAATATTGAGATTAATGCGGTGCAAGAGATACCTGCTGTCATGCCAGGGATCCATCAAATTTCCTCAGACATCAGTGAGCTACAAATTCACTTTAGAGACTACGGTTATATTTATATGATTGTGTCAGTCTCTTTGTTGCTCATTATCCTACTATGTCTTGTTTATCTATGCTATGCTAAAGTTCGCTATGTTTTACGGATTAGGAGATCTTCTCCTTCCAGGAGAACTGAGGATGCTCAAGCATCTGTGAGGTTTATTCAATCTCCTACTCCTAAGCCTGCAATTTACCCTAGATTAGAGATGGACTCCTCCACAGGAATCTTGTCCATTCGCTGATCACTTTCTGAAAAGGAATTTCGGCTGGAAGAGACAAACAAAAAAGAGAATCAGAGGCCAGAAATTCTTTTTACAATTTCTCTTATTGCCTTGACCCATATAAAAATGCGGGTACGAAAAATGGCACTCTCTTTCTTTGACGCGATTTTATATTTACGCGTCTAACATCTCTTTAAACGGATTATTGTCCTCAAGGACCAGTTGTTCCTCCTTCTTTTCTTCGACGGTCTTATCCGCTTCCTCCAGCCCCAGCAGATCCTCCACCGGTTGGGCTTCTGGATCCTGCTGATCCTCCGGCGTCAGCATCCTCACCAACTCCCTCATGTACGACGACTGTACAGAAAAGACAAAAAGAAAAAGCCCCAAGCAAAGCATCAAAAATTATTGCATGCATTGTTTTGTATTTACATGCTAAGTTGTTTACCTTGTCTAAATGTAGATACTCTTGGGGATCTGGCCCTTATATCCGCATAATTCTGCGAGAAGACTTCAAATTCCTCATCATCTGAATCTAGCCCATTAAAAAATATGTTGGGCATAGATCCTACTTTGCATTCTTTAATTTTTGCTTTGTCTAACTTTAGAATCCTTTT